CTTTCTCATTTGATGAAGACATACTTGCATGAAGTTGCTCAATGAGCTGAGCAACAGTAGCCATTGTAGTTTCTGGATCATCCATATTTGCTGCTCCATTATTTTCCCTGATAATTGGAATTCATCCACGTTCAGTATCTAAGAACCATAAGGCTCCTTCTAACAAGAACAAAATACATTTTACCAGTAGTTGATAATTAGCACGAACCTATAGTCGAGTGAACTATGAACATTGCGTTAATCTATTTCCATATTTTTCATTAATAAGCCCAACCAACTGTAACAAACAAGGATAGAGGATAAGGGAAAAAACGAAACCTACCGAGGGCTAGAAGTAGACGGTGATAGGGACTCAATTTTTCCTGTAACAGGGGACCTCGACATTTCATGAATTCACTGCCTCAGATTTCACCCTGCTCACCTGCAAGTTGAAAGCATAAAACCTCAAAACTCCTCAACTTATTTCATACAAATCAGTGATAAACACATCAACGAGTTTAACTACAAATCTCTAACAGAAATAACTCAAAATCCAAATCCCAAAACATCATAAGACGCACATGCACACAGGGTAAGAGATCAAAAATGTTGCCCTTCTGTAGATCCCAAATCCAGAAATGTAAAAAGATTTTCAATGTTTGATCTTCTTAATGCAGAAGGCTGCATCACACTTCCCAAAATTGCTCTTCGATAGCCAAGCTTAACAATCTTGGAGGTCAGTAAGTTCAGATCCATAATTAGGCCATATAGACATCTCGACCTTACAAGTAGAACTTCAGCTCAATAGCAATAAAAAAAATTGCAGAACGATTTAACAAACAAAACAATAAGAAAACCCAAATGAACGAACACGAACCAAGTAGTCGAATAAGCAGATGCCCAAAAACCTCCCCCTTCCACAACACGTCCTCGGCCGCTTCTTCCGACTCAGAAGCATCAAAACCTCAATTATCACATTACTCAATTCAAATCCATCTCCAAACAGCCAAAGAATGTCCTCCAAAATCCAAAAAGCAGCAACCTCACTTGAATGTAATAATTCACCGACAAACCAAGACCACAGTGAACCCACTGCAAAACAGCAGCCACAGCAAGCAGATCAAAGCCGAATCAGTAAAAGATCTCCCAATTCCAGTAACAAAATTGCTTAAAAAAAAACAAAAAGAAGAAGAAATTAAGCAAATTAAAGATTAAAAAAACAAAAAATGAATAAAATAAAGTACGGAGATCGGATCAGAGGCAGCGTCACAGAATCTAGGGCAAGAAAAACGTCATTTTCGAAGTGCAAACAGAATTCGGAAATTGAAAATGTACCTCAATCTGGAGCTACTGATGAACTGGGAATTGGCTCTCTGAGTAAGACCCGAATCAAAAAGGAAAAAAAAAAACGGCAGCCTGAGAGAAATAAAGAGAGAGAAAGAAGCAGCCTCACAGTCTCTCAGTCCTTTCGCTTCCACTCCTCCATGTGTTTATGTGTACAGTTTTTTTTTTTTTTTTTTTTAATTCTTATTCTAATTTTAATTTTAATTTTAATTTTAATTTTAATTTTAATTATTTCCTCTTCAGTGTCTCTTTCTTTCTTTTATTCTTTTAATTTTTGGAAAAATAAATAAATAAATAAATAAATAAATGGAATTGTCATAAAAGCGCGGGTGATTGGAAATCGGTTGGAAGAGTGGAAAAGCTGCCCCCACTTCCCTCTTTTTTTTATTCTTTTTTTTTTATTTTATTTAGTTAAATTACAATTTTAATTCTTAAATTTAATATATCTAATAATTTTATTATAGGGTAAAAAATATATATTAATATTAATGGGTGGAAATTATAAAATATTAATGGGCTCACCACGTTTTTCTTTTTTTTTTAATTACTTAAATAAACAACAAATAATTAGGGATGGGCAAAGTTTCCATAATTTTTTTTTTTATTTCAATAATACAAAAATATTTTTTTTTCCTCATTCAGCTTTTTTTTTTTTTTTANATACGATGTCAATATAAATTTATTTTTAAATAAAAAAAATTGGGTATTTTAAAATTTAAAATGGATAAAGAAGTATAATAAAAATAAGAATAATTACAAGATAGCTTTGCAAGTAATAATGTCATATTAATTGCCCAATTGACAATTAATTAATTACATAAATTATTCCATTTCACCAATAATTAAAAAAAAAAAAAAACACTTTGCTTGATAATTAATTTAACCACTATATTATTATTTTATTACCTCACTAAAGGGACTTTTAATATTGCATTGACACCCCCAAAGAATGGTGATATTACTTTTGAAACCATAATAATTTCATGGCCAAACAAAGACTTAAATGGTGACAATAAAATCAAGAATTAAGAGGGGAAATCATTGATATGAACCACCCATGTGGTCAAGATCTAGCGGACCCTAAACAGATACCATCGTAATGTAAACCAAAACCATTAAACTTTTGAATTTGCACGGACTTCGATTGAACCTATTGGTAGCCCGTTACGTAACTCGTAATCCATCCTTTTGAGGCTCAGTGCCATCGTTGACACATCGCTCGATGTCTAACTCTAATATCATTTGTAACAATTTCAGCTCACTGTTAGTAGTTATTCTGTTGATGTCTGACTCTAATATCATTTGTAACCATTGTGGGACATCACAATTCACCCCCCTTCAGGGCCCAGCGTTCTCCCTGACACTCTTTCCTTCTTCCAATCGATATGGGACCACCCCCAAATCCACCCCCATTTGGGGCCAGCGTCCTTACTAGCACACTGTCTCGTGTCTAGCTCTGATAACATTTGTAACGCCCCAAATCTACCACTAGTAGATATTGTCCTCTTTGAGCTTCCCCTCAAGGCTTTAAAACGCGTTTGCTAGGAGAAGGTTTCCACACCCTTATAAATGGTGGTTTGTTCTCCTCCCAACCAATGTGGGACATCACATATTCTATGTTTTGACCCCTTACGTATCACAGTCAGTCTCACAGTTTTAAAACGTGTATCTTAGAGAGAGGTTTGACACCCTTATCATGAACGTTTTGTTTCCCTCTCCAACCAATATGATATCTCACCGGCACAATTAAAAAAATTCAAAGATCTATTATTCAGCATACTATCAGATTTAATAAAACGACCAATTAGACAAATGATCACAAAATTTAAAAGTCGATAACTAAACTTATAATTTAATCAATAATCATTTATCTACAAATCAATCCACATTAAAATTAGCACAAATTAATGAGATTATTTGGTTTATTGAAATTTAATTACCATCTAATTATAGTTAGGCAGCATAATCAATCTACAATAAATTGAATCAATATTGTTTATAAATATTTCCTAAAAAAAATATTAATAATTAAATAATTAATAATGAGACATAAGTTAAAGATGTGAATGAACAAATATAACCGTTATTTTCTTTTATTTTTTGGATCACGGAAACTGAATTAACATTCTGAATCTTTGAGAATCCCATAGCACGTGTCAATGTTGGACATTCATCCACCTTAATAAATTTATTCTCTAAATATTAAATTAATAAATAATAAAATAAATATAAATACCCCTCCTTCCAACATTTTCTTATTTATTTTTTTATTTATTTTTTTAGTTTTTTCGAGTCAGACTGATCCGAAATACAGAATTTACAACCTGATCCAATCCATTCATCTATTCTCGGGTTTTTAAATTTTTTAATAAAATTGAAATGTTAGATAAACAATGGATTTGCTTTGGGCATGATCTCCAACACCTCCTCTCGAATAAAGTAAGATTTGATATCATTTGAGGATTCAGTTTAGGGCATAATTCTGATAACATATTAGGAACCATGACTCCTCATACGAACTTTCATCAAACACCTCCCCTCGAACAAAGTACGTCTCTTTTCTTTTTGAGTTCTTTGTTCGACATTTGGTTATGTTTAAGGCATGACTCTGATATCATGTTAGATGAACACGACTTTTCACAATAATATAATATTGTTGAACATAAGCTGTTATCGGTTTGCTTTGGGCTTTCCTAAAATTTCTTGTACTAATGGGAAGAGTATTCCTTGATTATAAACTCATGATCATTCCCTAAATTAGCAGATAGAGGAAATTTCATCCGAAACAAAAGGGAATGAAGCAAAATGGAGAAAAATAATGAGAAGAAACCAAACACAGGAGGGAAGAAGGGCCCTTTCTTTTTTCAGAAGGGATGTCCTGTCGAGTGTTTGAAAACATTGTGGGGCCCATGTCATACAAAACGGCATCGTTTCTCTCTCAATTGCGACAATTCCGAATTCCCTGAACCATACATCTTTCCATGTTTTCCTTTTTGTTTTTTTTTTTTTGTTTTTTTTAAATAGAAAAATAACAAGATAAGCATTAATAATTCATATAATATTTAAATTTGGGTTTAAATCTGTTTAATATTTTAACTTCCAAAATATCTAAATTTTTTAAAAAATAATAATTTTAATTTTATCACTTAATATTTAACTTTTAATACAGTACTGATAATAACCTAACTTGTAAGAGACTGTCTGAGGGGAGCTCTCTTAATACGTAGCATGAAACTCCTTCCTCGGTCGAAGACCGCCACGTCTTGTCCAGTATAAGACAATATCTTTCAGTCTACATTTGTGAGAATCGCTCGGCTTTCACTTACTTCAGTCTTTTAGTTTATCGGCCTCGTCTTCTTCTTAACCACTACCATATAAAATGGACATTTTAAAAGTTCGAGGATTAAAATATCCGAAAATAAACGTGTTCCTCAAACAAAGGGACATGGGAATATAGGAGCAAAACCTTGTGTCGTCGTCATACAACATATTGGGCCTTTTGGGCCTATAACGTATTGGGCCTTATGGGCCTATTCGCACCGTAATGCAATGCATGAAATGAGCCTTTATATTTAAAATTATTTCAAAGCTAAATTTTTTTAAAAACTAAATATATAATTTAACATTTTAAGAAAATAATTAATTTTTCTGGAATTTGTATAGCTACAAGATTGTCCTTTTATGTAAATTCACATACAAATTAGAATATTATTATTTTTTAATTTCGAGAATAAAAACATAAATATTGTAAGCAAATATGTACATTGATAACACACGTGCTAAACTCGCTCGTCGCTTCGTTACAACTCGGCTCAAAAGTCCGGCGCCGTCGCCAGTGCCGCCGCTTCTGCCGCCGAGTAAGCGGATTTAGATCTCATCGTCACGGTGACACTCTGTATGCAATCATTCGACGGCGGCTCTGTCATCGACCGATGATAAGCTTTCGAAGCCGGAATCCGACGTTTAATCAAATTCAATTCGACATGTCGAATTCAAAACGGCTTCTGAAGGTACATGAACATATCCTGCAATGGCGACATCTGATTTAATGTCGGAAATTGAGCACAGAAAGCGCTCTCCATCGAAGCGTCCATGTAATTGTACGGAAATCCAGAGTACTCGTCTTTCAATCTCGGCTGGCTCTGAACCTCGCACGTGAACTCCGACGACACCACTTGTTCCGAACAGCTCGAGTCCGCGTGAAGACGAGGAATCGAATCGGACGCGTCGAAATACATAAAATCGTTCACTACGCCGGACGATGGCGGAGCCTGCGACGGCGATGGAGACAGAATTCGGCCGGAAACTGCTCCGTCGTTCAGAATTTCAGGCTTTTCCTCCTGATCCTCGTTTTCTATATATCCGATCGTGTTCATTTCCGGCCGATTAATAGAAACGTGGTGCTGCTGCGGCGGCGGCGGCGGCGGTGGCGGCGGCTGCTTCTCGATCAAGCCTTTTTTGTTGTATATGCGGCAGAGTACCCAATCGTCAAGCTGCAAAATCAGAATAAAATAATTAATTATTTTCTTTAAATTATTTTGTAATTAAATATCTATTTCTTATAATTATTAATTAAAAAAAGTCATGTAAAAATACCCTTAGACTATTCTTCTTGCGAGCCGACCGGTCCACGTGAGCGAGCCGGTACTCGTGCATGATCCAATTGGTTTTCTCACCCTTGGGAGCTTTCCCAGCGTAAAACACCAAAGCCTTCTTAATCCCGATTGTCTTCGGCCGGCCTATCGGTTTATCAGCTCCGGTCGCCTTCCAGTATCCACTCCCAGCCGACCGGTTCGGCCTTGAACCGTTCGGATACTTCCGGTCCCTTGGCGAAAAGAAATACCACTCCTTCTCTCCGTGCAAAGCTTTTCCTGTAATAATAATAATCGCCGATGAATTCCGATCTCGAAGACGATGAATTTGAACTAATTTCATTTAAATTAAAAAATTTACCAGGCAAGTCCCACGGATTGTATTTATAAAGATCAATTTCAGCAATAATCGGCACAGAAATCGGCTGCGACGCACATTTACGGCACAAGTAATGCGTCACAAGCTCGTCGTCCGTTGGATGAAACCTAAACCCCGGCGGCAACTGCAAATCAACGGCCATGATTTCTTCTCTCTTCTTCGATTTCTCTCAGAGCTATTTCCTCTCCGACGCTTGAAACTCGCAACGCAGGAGAAACAGGCGAGTTTTATAGACTAAAAAAGGGACACGTGGACTATTCAGGACGGAGTTTCTAGAAGACACGTGGGCGGTAAAAACCTCCCGTGGTCCAATGCGCGACACGTGGCAAATTAAAAAGTGGAGCGCGTGCGTGGCAGTGGTGTTGGGGGGGATGATTTGGTCATTACTTACGACATGTGTTTTGGACTGTAGTGATTGTTACGTCATCCGGATCGGGTCTTTTTGGGACCGCTTTTGTGAGTTCGGCACGATTACGAAAAGATCACGAGTTAAGTCGGCCGATTGTTTTAACGGTAGATAGAGACGACACGCCAGCCTTGATTTCCACGTGTTGAATTTCAGTCGGATAAGATTTATCCAAACCATTTTAATTTATTCATTTTGGGTAGGTGTCAACTTACTTCAAAATTTATGATATACCTAAATATATTACCACATTTCAATTTTTAAAGCATTATTTTTCTTTATTTAAAGAAAAAATGGATTAAAATATTTTAAAAAAATGTTAAATCCATCGTTGTACATTAAATATGATTATATTTTAATACATATAATTTCATTAAATATTTAATGAAAATATTCAACTTTAATTCTATATAAATTTATTAAAAAATGATAATTTTTTTTATTGAATAAATATATCATGAATAATTTTTACAAATTTTAAAAAAATACTATATTATTTATTTTCTTAAAATAAAGTAGGATTTATTGAAAATATAGTAACTAAATTTTAATATATAAATATAGAAAGAATAGAATATATGGTTTTTGTGAAGTTTATTTGAAAATATTAAATGTTTATTAATAATTTATATATATATATATATATATTTTTTTTTTTTTTAATTACACACGACAAAAACCTTTTGGAAGTAAATACTAAAAATAGAAACAAAATTTAAAAAAACGCGTGAAATTCAGAGCGCTTTCGGTGGCCGTTAGATGAATTATGAACACAGACCAATGAAATAACGACACGTCATCTACTTTTTACGAAGATTACCAAGTGGTGGTCACGAATGTTATATCAACGACGAGATAATGCGAATCTCTTTATTCACTTCCACGTGATCGACACGTGGCCTATGACGAGGATGACGGTGACCTGCATAATTTGCCGTGACAGTGATTCAAATACCAACACCCGTCTCTTGAACTGCAATTCTGCCGCAATCGTGGCAGGATCTCATTGGTCTGTGACATTAAAATAAATAGGAAGGACTGACAAACCGTACAAGCTGAAATGACTTGTCACAGTAGGTAGGTGCACGTTGATATCACTTGGAGCTTATTAAATTAATTTTTAATTTATAAATGAGTGATGACGCACCCAACCATGTGATTATATTATATTTTAGGATATTATATGATATTTTATTAAGTCGAGTAATTAATAATTATGAGAATATCGTTTTTGTCATTTTTATTAAAAGTAAAAATTAAAATTAATTTTGAAATTAAAGTAATAAAGTTGTTGACTATGTTAAGCTGAGTTTGACTAATTACAGTGAGTTTTAATAATTTGCAACTTTGTTTTATTTAAGGAAAAAAACACGTTATTCCACTTTTTTTTTTCTTTATAAAACAAAATAAATAATAATAATAAATTCGATGAGCCAATCAAATCAAATTAGGTAATGAAATTGGAATTTAATAAAAAAATAATATTAAAAGTTAAAACTCGAATCAATGAGATTTGACCTTGATCTCATCGTGGCTCGAAAATAACATTTTAACTTTTATTAAATTAAGCTGTAAATTTAATCAAGTGTTGGAGTGTTTATCTTAGTTTAAAAAATGTAAAAAAAAAAACATCATGAAAAATAAAACGGTGAGATCTTACCTCAGCTGAAAAAGGAAATGAAGTAATAATAACCTTAAGGGGATGTCCAGAAGAGGTCAATATCTGCTAACGGTGGGCTTGAGATGTTATAAATAATATCAGAGCCACATATCGGGTGGTGTGCTAACGAAGACACTAATTCTCGAAGGGAGTGGTTACACTTCATTTATAAGGGTGTGGAAACCTCTTCTTTTTTAAAAGTTTGAGGGAAAACCAAAAGGAAAAATAAAAAATAACAATATCTGATAGCTACAAGAGGCTTAGACCGTTACAAACAAAATTAATATTTATCTCTAATACTCGAAAGTTATATAATCTCGACTAATTAAATTATAATAATAATAATTCCCAATTTTTTTTTAATGCAATATGGCATAAAAAAATTTTAACAGCTAATTCTATTATTATTATTTATTTATTTTTTTTTACTAATAATCAAATTGCAATTATTTTAATTCCCATATCATGATGTAATCAAACCACTTTCGTTAATTAAATAAAATATTAATACAAAAATACATATTTTTTCAATGCAAAACGAAAACTTGAAACCGCATATTAATAATAAATAATTTAAAAAATATATTTTAATAATCAACTAGGCATGAAAAATAATAATAATTGGGGAAGTTCATTGAATCCACCAAGCAAAAGACTTTGACCAATTTGAGACATAATATAAGTTAGAATTTTAGATAAATATTTAAAATGAATATGTAATTTTAAATGTTTTTTTTTTTATTGTAATGAAAATTAGGAGGAAATTTCGTGTCTACTTCCAAGTCTAAGTGTTGGGACCATACTTAGGCATCACTAATGTTTGGGAAGGCTGCTGAATTAAGGTGCTTCATCATAAAAAGAAAGTGCCGGGAAAATGGACTTAGAAAAAAATGAGCCGTCGTTGTTCAGGAATAGAGTTCGAAAATTTTAAATAATAATAATATTAGTAAATTAATTGGACATTAGCTTAATTAATTACGTCAAATAAATTTATTATTGGTTAGAAAATTCGAGAATTTATTAATTAATTTTTTTTATAGAAATTTTTTATTGAGAGAATATTCATAATAGAAAAAAAATATATATATTTTATATCAACTTATCTAAAAGATTCCAAATATATCAAAATCATGTAAGCGATTAAATAATATATATTAAATTAATAAAAATATCCTGAAAGTAATATTTGGCAATTATTTAAAAAATATCTCAAAATTAGTAAAATGTTAGTATTTTAATTTAAAAATACCTTTTAATAGTGATTAAAAAATATAATTTCGAATTTAAAAAATTTAATTAATATTCTATTTAAAAAAAAATTAAAAAATACTATTACAGTTAGTATACCTTGAACAAATCCCAGCCAGCTGCTAACATCTTTGCCTTCCTCTTCTATATTGTCTTTCTCTATGCACAAATTTGGATGATCCAGACATCCCCAAGCTATGAATCTCATTCAAATGAGTCCCAACCTCAACAGATTTTCTTCTGTGCTTACCATAGACCAACACTCAACTGCTCCTTACGCGAATTCCATGACTTTTTGGCCACAATGACGTTCTAACTTGAAAACCTCTGTGGTTCCTCATCCATCTACAAGACACCCGTCTGCTAGTTCTCGACTCGACATGTTTGGGGACATTGCTCGAATCGCTTGTTGACCCATGCCGACGTTTTCCTTCTTCACTTTCGCCGAAGACGCCAACTTTATGTAATAAACATAGGAGTAAAAGACCTGCATACAATCCCCAAAAGAAAGAGCAAATTCAAGCACTGAACTAATGTTCTATGTAATAATCAACAAACACAAATGCACATAAATTCTCACCATCACTTGTAACTAAAACATCTAAACTGGATTTGGATCCCTTTCCGAAGAAGTTTCCTTTGATCTTGTGAGCCTACGATTTAGAGTCATACCAGGTAAAGAAGTAAAAGGCATTATTAGGGGACAAACAGTAGATTGTATTCCCAAATCCCATTACAATTACATCAGTAAGTCATAAGCTGATAACCAACTTCGATCTGATAACTAGATGTTACCACATTCCATAACACAGGGAAAATAGCTGCATCATCCCATACCATATGAACTTAGTTGCCATTATCATTATTGTTGTAGCGGAAGTGGAAGCAAGATCGATTATACTCACACACCCACAAACAGAAATTAAACAAAAAGACAAAGATTTATGTGGTTCGGAGAGAAGAAATTCCCTTGCATCCATGGGTGGTAGCTAATCACTATAACCAAAGTGTTAACAAGTGTATCTCTATCACTCTCACACTACAAAGTCTCTCTTACAAAGTTCCTCCCAATTGCTTCTAAGCAAATACAAAATAACAATAACTCCACGCCTGAAAACAATGCTAGACAAACCTTTATACAGGCATTGTAATATTAATGTTATACATGAATCAAGATGATTCTCGCAAAGGAAGATAACCAAAAGAGTTATGAGCCAAATAAATGAGAGATGAGCCAAATAAATGAGAGATGAACCAAATAAATGGCAATACATGCATAGGAGATGCACGAACCTATTCTTCGTTACAACTCACAAATGAACTTAATTGCCATTATCGTTAAACCAGTAAGTTATTGATGCTAGCAACTTTAATTTGACAGATAAATGTTGAGAGAAATGAAACTATACAATTCAAAACGTAGAAGAAACAATTGCATGCTTCCATACCATATCAAATTAGCTTCAACTATTGAACTAGAAATGTTCTACAAAAAAGCGGGTCTGGTACATTAGGAAGTTAATAGTCAATAGTTGTAATCAATGATTAAATATCCGTCGATATATCCAGAAATCGAAGGGTTCGACATCAACATCAAGGATCAATCGATAAACCCCATAGCTTGGGTTTTATATCTTTGGTTGTAATAAAATATGATCCAGATGTAAACTAAGAGTGCTTGAAATATGCAAGATTTTAAGCTGCAAGGCTGTTTTCTCCCAACCATGGAAAACAGAGAAATTCCAGCATATTACAAATACCAAGGGACTGACATAAAAACTTAATTGTTTCACTCACCAAAGTATGAAAGAATCAAGATCATGCCCATCTTTAGCAAATCGGCAACGCAGAAATTTTCTATGAAATCCCTTGTTGATCCACAAACTGAAATGGGAACATGTGCGAGCAGTGACAAAATCAGGTAACAATATTCAATAAAGAAAAGCAAAGAACCTGACAAAATCAGGTAGATGATTAAGTTTACGGTTAGAGGCCACATGATGTGAAAATCAAAAGAAACAGAAAAAAAATGCACCAACCTGCAGGTCCTTCCAGAGAGAAAATCAAGTGAGGATCCAAATGCTTCGCCAATGGCCGAGAAAAACCAGAGGCCAATGAGCTGGCTACATTACCTATAACGTCGTATAGATTCAGCACTCACTAAAAACTAATGAATCATAACAAAAACAAAAATCTCCTGCGAAATAAGATGACAAAGAAAACAACCAAGACCTTAATGGAAACAATATCAATCATAACTAGAAGAGACGATCGTAGAAAGGAGTATGAATCATCAGTATTTTTCACTCACAGATGAGATTTGCACGCCAGAGCGTGATCGGATAATCGATTTCGGAGAACATACGCAGAAAGAGAGAAATTTAAAATGAAACAGTTACATCGATTAGAATGCTTAAAGAACAGCAGATGGAAGAAGAATGGAGGGCGGAGGGTGTCTCATTTCCACCGTGCCGGATTTTGGCCAGAGCAGCGGTTGTTGAGCGCTTCAGACGAGTTTGGAAGATTTGGACATGCGGCCCATTTTGTGAATGGGCTTTGTTTTTTCTACGATAAAAGCCCAATTAAGAAAACCCAATTTTTTAGCGGGAAATTTTAAACTAAAAAAATAATAACGAATGAATTTGACGGCCCAATTTATAATTTCTATTTTCTTCGAACTCAAAATAATAATAATAATAATAATAATAATAATAATAATTTCTTCTAACGTCTTGCATGAATTTGAGTATTGTAAATTAGTGGACAATAATTTTTTTATATTTTTTTAAATAAACAACTCAAATCAAATATTCAAATTTATATATATATATATATATATATATATATACATATTATAGACCAACCGGAAATTGCAAATTGGTTAAGTTAGTTACTCGAATGACTTGAATAAGGTTCACAACCGAACCGTAGGATGGGTGGTCGGTGTGTTCCTTTTTTAATTATTTAAAAAAATTATATTTACTAATAATTAAGATATCATAAAATTCGGATATCAACATTCAAAATATCTTTTTTTTAATCTTCGTAACAATCTTACAATTAGGGTGGGGTTGTGACTTATATTTCCGAGTTGGGTGAGTTTACTTGACCAAAAAATGTACAGTACTTGAACCGAACATCTAATCTAGCTTTGCTTAGGTAATTTGGATTGTTCGGCTAATCGAGTCATATGAACACCTTTTATATAGTGGATAGTAAAGATGAAACTGTTTACTCACTAAACGAGGTTGGTTAGAATATCGAGTTAATTCTTATTAAATTTATAACTAATATGGGAGATTAATGAAAGTTTCTAAGAAATAAAAGAGAAATAGTTTGAGAAATCCTTAGTCAATTAGCTATGAGACTAACTTTTCGGTCGAGGATACATATATGAGCATATAGAGTAACAAACTATTGATCTAGAACGCATACCCACGGGAATAATAACTTATTGATCGAGAATATGTACACGAGCACGTAGTATATACGTGGATTAGTAACTCGTAACAATCCAAACCCACTGTTATGCTAGCAAATATTGTCCTTCCCTTCAAGGGTTTCATCTCAAGGTTTTGAAACGTGTTTGGTAGGGAGAGATTTCTACACCCTTATGAAGAATATTTTGTTCCCTCTCTCGATCCATTCTAGGATTTCACAGCATTTCTCAACTAAAAACATGTACACGAGCACGTAGTATACACGTGTACCAGTAACTCGTAACAACCCAAACCCACCACTAGCATATATTGTCATTTTTGTGCATTCCATTCAAGGATTTTATCTCGAGATTTTAAAACGTGTCTGTTATAGAGAGATTTTCGTACATTTATACATAATATTTCGTTCTCTCTCTCGATCCAGTCTAGGATCTCACATCATTTCTCAACCAAAAATATGTACATGAGCATGTAGTATACACGTGGACTAGTAACTCGTAACAACTCAACCCCACCACTAGCAAATATTGTCTTTAAAACGTGTTTACGCCTTTAAAGAATATTTCGTTCCCTCTCTCGATCCAGTCTAGAATTTCACATAATTTCTCGACCGAAAACATGTACACGAGCACGTAGTATACACGTGGACCAGTAACATCTCGATCGAGAATATATACACGAGCATATGGAGTGAATTGGGAAGACATAAGAAAAAAGGAAAAAAAAAAGAAAAAGAAATGGTCTTTGACATTTTCGTTTGGGCAAAGAGTAGAGAGAGAGGCACAGAAGCGAAGCAAACAAAAATCAAAGCTCTCTCTCTCTCTCTTTCTCTCTGTGAGGAAGCGCAAAGCAAAGCGAAGGCAAGAGAGGAAGTTAGAGAGAGAATCTTCCTCTTCCCCATGCTTTCAATTTCGTAGCATAACAACAATCAACGACCCCACAAATTTCTCTTTCCCCCTCTCTGATTTTCTTCAACAATGCCAGCTTCTCCTTCATTCCCATCTGGTAAATTCATCTGCCCTAAATTTCTCTTCTCTTCTTCTTCTCTCTGTGAAATTTCATCATTTCTCATCTTTAATTCTGTTTATGGTGTCTAATTTTTTGTTTTGACAAAACCCTTACCAGGGTCTCGTGGAAAATGGCGGAAGAAGAAGAGGGATTCGCAAATTGGCCGCAGAAACAACTTCCCTAATAGCAATAACAACGGCAGCAACAAGCATGAGGAGGACGATGAAGATGAAGACCTTGCCGCGGCTGAAAATGAAGAAATGGAACGCGATAACAACGATGATTCTGAGGATCCTCAGATTAACCTTCAATCCGCGCCCAATTCGAGCCTACAGGAGCCTGAACTCCTGTCGGATGATAAAGTGCGAGTCTCCGAGTTTCCTCAGGTCGTTAAGCGGGCTGTCACTCGGCCTCACTCTTCTGTGTTGGCTGTTGTGGCAATGGAGAGGGCAAATCAGTTCGGAGAAAGTAAGGGGCTGCCTGGAAATTCATTGATTTTGGAGAATGTGTCTTATGGGCAGCTCCAAGCCCTGTCTGCTATGCCTGCGGATAGTCCGGCGTTGCTGGATCAGGAGAGGGTGGAGGCTGGCAACGCCGCCTATGTAATAACGCCTCCACCGATTATGGAAGGGCGTGGCGTGGTTAAGAGGTTTGGGAGTAGGGTACATGTTGTCCCTATGCACTCAGGTTCGATCCTCTCGTCCTCCTCAAGTTAATTAATTCTTGCACATATATTTTGAGGGTAAACAATTTGCATTGCCATCTGTACCTTACATTTGTTGTGGGATAAGTTCATGGGTTTTGTCTAGCATTATTGTGAACAACTATTTAGGGAATTGCAATGTTTTTCTTTCCCAATGAAACATCAGCTCCAAAATGTAAGATATATGGTTGAATAGCTTGAATTCATTAATAATTTTACTTGCTAAGTTCTGTAGTTGTTAGTGTGATCATATTTAATTCAGGATTTGAGTGGGTAGAAAACTTATATGAACTTTATTTGTTTTAGTATAAGTAGCAAGTTCGATGCGTTTGCACTCAATTTGTGCCTCAGGATAACATATACTTAATTGAATATAGGGAGAAGAGGAATATTATCTAACATGTGACAGTCGATTTTTTGGAAACAGATTGGTTTTCACCTGCCACGGTGCATCGACTTGAGAGACAAGTTGTTCCACATTTTTTCTCTGGAAAATTTCCTGACCGCACTCCTGAGAAGTATATGGAAATTCGAAATTTTGTTGTTGCAAAATACATGGAGAATCCTCAGAAAAGGGTCACAGTTTCAGACTTCCAAGGATTGATTGATGGTGTCAGTAATGAAGATTTAACTCGAATTGTTCGATTTCTTGATCATTGGGGTATTATTAATTATTGTGCTCCTGCACCTAGCTGTGAACCATGGAATAGTAGTTCATACTTGAGAGAAGATATGAACGGTGAGATTCATGTGCCATCAGCTGCTTTGAAGCCTATTGATAGCTTGATCAAATTTGACAAACCAAAATGTAGGCTCAAGGCAAATGAGGTCTATTCAATACTTCCTTGCCATGATGATAATGATGATTTGTGTGATTTGGATAACAAAATTCGTGAGCGTCTAGCTGAAAATTATTGTAGCTCTTGTTCTCGGCCTGTTCCCATTGCATACTACCAATCACAGAAGGAGGTTAGTATCTATCACCATATTGTACTCCATTGTTTGTCTGTCTCAGAGTTCCTCGGGGTCAGCATATGACGCTTGTATATATGCCTGAAAGAAGGATGATTGTCAGGGCAACGGCAAACACAGTTAGAGACAATAAATACAATGTAAATTAGAAAACAATGCCGTGATAGTGATATGTCATGAAACCTTTTCCTATTGAGAGTAGAAAAAAGACGACAGTGTTTAAAATTATTGAATCCTTATGGTTGTCCTATATGGTAAATTCTAGAGACCTTGGGGTCTAGGCTGTTCAATTTTGCACGGGGAGAAATGAGAGGAAGTAGTAGAGATCTGTATGACTAGCCAGTTTCTCCTCAAGCATATCCGTACCTGTACTTTTGTCGTCGTAGGTGACTTAGAGGATTTCTGTTTTGGGAATCTTGGAAAAGGTGTCTTTGCTTGCCACGAGGAGAAACATCAAAGTCTTGATCTTGAGGCAATAGGACTTCTTTTAACTCTTTATAGTGAGCCTATACCATGCAAGAGAATTGCTTCTGATGCATAACTTTTAGAAATCCCTTGAATTCTTATGGATCTTTTTTCGTTAACGACTTATTGGCATCCATGCTACAGGTTGATGTTTTACTTTGCTCCGACTGCTTCTATGAAGGCAAATATGTTGCTGGTCATGCAAGTATTGATTTTCTGAGGGTAGACATGACGAAAGATTATGATGAACTAGATAGTGAAAATTGGACTGATCAAGAAACTCTATTGCTTTTAGAGGCAATAGAATTGTATAATGATAACTGGAACGAAATTACAGAACATGTTGGGTCCAAGTCTAAAGCTCAATGCATTATACATTTTCTTCGTCTATCAGTGGAGGATGGCCTTCTAGAAAACGTTGACGTGCCTGGTGTTTCTCTCTCGTCCAATTCTTCACATGGAGAAGATAATGAGAAGTCGCATTCAAATATGAATGGAAATGTAGCAGGTATTTTTTTAACTTTTAACTGACTGTTGGTGACTTTTTGACATTTTCTCTCTAAATATTTGTTTATTTCTTTAGGTTCTTCCTCTCAAGATAATAAAGAGATGCGTGATAGGCTCCCGTTTGCTAATTCTCAGAACCCAGTCATGGCGTTGGTACGTGTCCGTTTATTTGATGCTTTATATGTCTTTCAGTTCATCAAGTAAAATTGAAGAATTGAATTGTTTCAGAACTACTTTCCATTGAACTTGAAAAGAAACCATGTTAAAAAAAAAAAAAAAAAACCATTGCAAATCTATAATATTTCATATTTTTGCCGAACTCCAAAGCATCCTATGTTCCTTTATCAAGGGATGTCCTGGTTGATGATTTGGAATAATGAGTATAAGACAATTAAGCAGGGAACAGCGG